TGTGAATGCACTGGAGCAGTGAGTGTGTGAATGCCCTGGAGCAGTGAGTGTGTGAATGCCGCTGGAGCAGTGAGTGTGTGAATGCCGCTGGAGCAGTGAGTGTGTGAATGCACTGGAGCAGTGAGTGTGTGAATGCACTGGAGCGGTGAGTGTGTGAATGCACTGGAGCGGTGAGTGTGTGAATGCCGCTGGAGCAGTGAGTGTGTGAATGCACTGGAGCGGTGAGTGTGTGAATGCACTGGAGCAGTGAGTGTGTGAATGCACTGGAGCGGTGAGTGTGTGAATGCCGCTGGAGCAGTGAGTGTGTGAATGCACTGGAGCGGTGAGTGTGTGAATGCACTGGAGCAGTGAGTGTGTGAATGCACTGGAGCGGTGAGTGTGTGAATGCCGCTGGAGCGGTGAGTGTGTGAATGCACTGGAGCAGTGAGTGTGTGAATGCCGCTGGAGCGGTGAGTGTGTGAATGCCGCTGGAGCGGTGAGTGTGTGAATGCCGCTGGAGCGGTGAGTGTGTGAATGCACTGGAGCAGTGAGTGTGTGAATGCACTGGAGCGGTGAGTGTGTGAATGCCGCTGGAGCAGTGAGTGTGTGAATGCACTGGAGCGGTGAGTGTGTGAATGCACTGGAGCAGTGAGTGTGTGAATGCACTGGAGCAGTGAGTGTGTGAATGCACTGGAGCGGTGAGTGTGTGAATGCACTGGAGCGGTGAGTGTGTGAATGCACTGGAGCGGTGAGTGTGTGAATGCCGCTGGAGCAGTGAGTGTGTGAATGCACTGGAGCGGTGAGTGTGTGAATGCACTGGAGCAGTGAGTGTGTGAATGCACTGGAGCAGTGAGTGTGTGAATGCACTGGAGCAGTGAGTGTGTGAATGCCGCTGGAGCAGTGAGTGTGTGAATGCACTGGAGCAGTGAGTGTGTGAATGCCGCTGGAGCAGTGAGTGTGTGAATGCCGCTGGAGCAGTGAGTGTGTGAATGCACTGGAGCAGTGAGTGTGTGAATGCCCTGGAGCAGTGAGTGTGTGAATGCCGCTGGAGCAGTGAGTGTGTGAATGCCGCTGGAGCAGTGAGTGTGTGAATGCACTGGAGCAGTGAGTGTGTGAATGCCGCTGGAGCAGTGAGCGTGTGAATGCACTGGAGCAGTGAGTGTGTGAATGCCGCTGGAGCGGTGAGTGTGTGAATGCACTGGAGCAGTGAGTGTGTGAATGCACTGGAGCGGTGAGCGTGTGAATGCACTGGAGCGGTGAGTGTGTGAATGCCGCTGGAGCAGTGAGTGTGTGAATGCACTGGAGCGGTGAGTGTGTGAATGCACTGGAGCAGTGAGTGTGTGAATGCACTGGAGCGGTGAGTGTGTGAATGCCGCTGGAGCAGTGAGTGTGTGAATGCACTGGAGCGGTGAGTGTGTGAATGCACTGGAGCAGTGAGTGTGTGAATGCACTGGAGCGGTGAGTGTGTGAATGCACTGGAGCGGTGAGTGTGTGAATGCCGCTGGAGCGGTGAGTGTGTGAATGCACTGGAGCAGTGAGTGTGTGAATGCCGCTGGAGCGATGAGTGTGTGAATGCCGCTGGAGCAGTGAGTGTGTGAATGCACTGGAGCGGTGAGTGTGTGAATGCACTGGAGCAGTGAGTGTGTGAATGCACTGGAGCGGTGAGTGTGTGAATGCCGCTGGAGCAGTGAGTGTGTGAATGCACTGGAGCAGTGAGTGTGTGAATGCACTGGAGCAGTGAGTGTGTGAATGCACTGGAGCGGTGAGTGTGTGAATGCACTGGAGCGGTGAGTGTGTGAATGCACTGGAGCGGTGAGTGTGTGAATGCCGCTGGAGCAGTGAGTGTGTGAATGCACTGGAGCGGTGAGTGTGTGAATGCACTGGAGCAGTGAGTGTGTGAATGCACTGGAGCAGTGAGTGTGTGAATGCACTGGAGCGGTGAGTGTGTGAATGCACTGGAGCGGTGAGTGTGTGAATGCACTGGAGCGGTGAGTGTGTGAATGCACTGGAGCAGTGAGTGTGTGAATGCCGCTGGAGCAGTGAGTGTGTGAATGCCGCTGGAGCGGTGAGTGTGTGAATGCACTGGAGCGGTGAGTGTGTGAATGCCGCTGGAGCAGTGAGTGTGTGAATGCCGCTGGAGCGGTGAGTGTGTGAATGCACTGGAGCGGTGAGTGTGTGAATGCACTGGAGCGGTGAGTGTGTGAATGCACTGGAGCTGTGAGTGTGTGAATACACTGGAGCAGTGAGTGTGTGAATGCCGCTGGAGCAGTGAGTGTGTGAATGCACTGGAGCAGTGAGTGTGTGAATGCCGCTGGAGCAGTGAGTGTGTGAATGCCGCTGGAGCAGTGAGTGTGTGAATGCACTGGAGCAGTGAGTGTGTGAATGCACTGGAGCAGTGAGTGTGTGAATGCCGCTGGAGCGGTGAGTGTGTGAATGCACTGGAGCAGTGAGTGTGTGAATGCCGCTGGAGCAGTGAGTGTGTGAATGCACTGGAGCAGTGAGTGTGTGAATGCACTGGAGCAGTGAGTGTGTGAATGCCGCTGGAGCGGTGAGTGTGTGAATGCACTGGAGCAGTGAGTGTGTGAATGCCGCTGGAGCAGTGAGTGTGTGAATGCCACTGGAGCGGTGAGTGTGTGAATGCACTGGAGCAGTGAGTGTGTGAATGCCACTGGAGCGGTGAGTGTGTGAATGCACTGGAGCAGTGAGTGTGTGAATGCACTGGAGCAGTGAGTGTGTGAATGCCGCTGGAGCAGTGAGTGTGTGAATGCCACTGGAGCGGTGAGTGTGTGAATGCACTGGAGCAGTGAGTGTGTGAATGCCACTGGAGCGGTGAGTGTGTGAATGCCGCTGGAGCAGTGAGTGTGTGAATGCACTGGAGCAGTGAGTGTGTGAATGCCGCTGGAGCAGTGAGTGTGTGAATGCCGCTGGAGTAGTGAGTGTGTGAATGCACTGGAGCAGTGAGTGTGTGAATGCACTGGAGCAGTGAGTGTGTGAATGCCGCTGGAGCGGTGAGTGTGTGAATGCACTGGAGCAGTGAGTGTGTGAATGCCACTGGAGCAGTGAGTGTGTGAATGCCACTGGAGCGGTGAGTGTGTGAATGCACTGGAGCAGTGAGTGTGTGAATGCCACTGGAGCGGTGAGTGTGTGAATGCACTGGAGCGGTGAGTGTGTGAATGCACTGGAGCAGTGAGTGTGTGAATGCCGCTGGAGCAGTGAGTGTGTGAATGCCACTGGAGCGGTGAGTGTGTGAATGCACTGGAGCGGTGAGTGTGTGAATGCACTGGAGCAGTGAGTGTGTGAATGCCGCTGGAGCAGTGAGTGTGTGAATGCCACTGGAGCGGTGAGTGTGTGAATGCACTGGAGCGGTGAGTGTGTGAATGCCACTGGAGCGGTGAGTGTGTGAATGCACTGGAGCAGTGAGTGTGTGAATGCACTGGAGCAGTGAGTGTGTGAATGCACTGGAGCAGTGAGTGTGTGAATGCTGCTGGAGCGGTGAGTGTGTGAATGCACTGGAGCGGTGAGTGTGTGAATGCACTGGAGCAGTGAGTGTGTGAATGCCGCTGGAGCGGTGAGTGTGTGAATGCCGCTGGAGCGGTGAGTGTGTGAATGCCGCTGGAGCGGTGAGTGTGTGAATGCACTGGAGCGGTGAGTGTGTGAATGCACTGGAGCAGTGAGTGTGTGAATGCCGCTGGAGCGGTGAGTGTGTGAATGTACTGGAGCGGTGAGTGTGTGAATGCACTGGAGCAGTGAGTGTGTGAATGCCGCTGGAGCGGTGAGTGTGTGAATGCACTGGAGCAGTGAGTGTGTGAATGCCGCTGGAGCAGTGAGTGTGTGAATGCCGCTGGAGCGGTGAGTGTGTGAATGCCGCTGGAGCGGTGAGTGTGTGAATGCACTGGAGCAGTGAGCGTGTGAATGCCGCTGGAGCGGTGAGTGTGTGAATGCCGCTGGAGCGGTGAGTGTGTGAATGCCGCTGGAGCGGTGAGTGTGTGAATGCCGCTGGAGCAGTGAGTGTGTGAATGTACTGGAGCAGTGAGTGTGTGAATGCCACTGGAGCGGTGAGTTTGTGAATGCCGCTGGAGCAGTGAGTGTGTGAATGCACTGGAGCAGTGAGTGTGTGAATGCCACTGGAGCGGTGAGTGTGTGAATGCCGCTGGAGCAGTGAGTGTGTGAATGCACTGGAGCAGTGAGCGTGTGAATGCCGCTGGAGCGGTGAGCGTGTGAATGCCACTGGAGCGGTGAGTGTGTGAATGCCACTGGAGCGGTGAGTGTGTGAATGCGCTGGAGCAGTGAGTGTGTGAATGCACTGGAGCAGTGAGTGTGTGAATGCACTGGAGCAGTGAGTGTGTGAATGCACTGGAGCGGTGAGTGTGTGAATGCACTGGAGCTGTGAGTGTGTGAATGCACTGGAGCAGTGAGTGTGTGAATGCACTGGAGCGGTGAGTGTGTGAATGCCGCTGGAGCAGTGAGTGTGTGAATGCACTGGAGCAGTGAGTGTGTGAATGCACTGGAGCGGTGAGTGTGTGAATGCCGCTGGAGCAGTGAGTGTGTGAATGCCGCTGGAGCAGTGAGTGTGTGAATGCCGCTGGAGCGGTGAGTGTGTGAATGCCGCTGGAGCAGTGAGCGTGTGAATGCCGCTGGAGCAGTGAGTGTGTGAATGCACTGGAGCAGTGAGGTGTGTATGCCGCTGGAGCAGTGAGTGTGTGAATGCCGCTGGAGCGCACACTTAGTGCTCAGAACGAATAGTCTTACGTTACGGATATTATACAACAAACAACAAGCAGACGCAGTCCTCCAGGAGGGCAGGAGTGGGCTCTTCCCGGACAGCCCTGCGCGGACAGCCCGGTGCGGTTCCTGTGGAAGGGAGTGAGTGTGCGTGGCCAGGGCCTTCGGAACACTGTCACGGCCGGAACACCAGAGCCGCCCGCGGCCCGGTGCAGGCAGGCGTGGGTCCGTCCCGGAGAACTGCCCAGGAGCAGAGGACGTCAGCCCCTCCCGTGCCTAACCAGAGTTCTCGTCCGCAGTGGCATCGCCAGAGCGTGGACGCGGGCCTACTTCGGCGAAGGCTCCGGCCCGGTGCTGCTGGATGAGGTGCGCTGCACGGGCAACGAGCTGGCCCTCGAGGAGTGTCCGAGGCGGCCCTGGGGCGAGCACAACTGCGGCCACGGAGAGGACGCCGGCGTGTCCTGCACCCCGCTCACGGGTAGGCTGCCCAGCCCGGCCGGCCCCCCCCCGGCCCCTGCCCCGGCCCCGGCCCCTGCCTCTGCCCCGGCCCCCGCCCCGGCCCCCGCCCCGGCCCCGGCCCCGGACCCGGACCCTGCCCCCGCCCCTGCCCTGCCCGGCCCGGTCCCCGCCCCGGCCCCCGCCCCGGCCCCGGCCCCTGCCCCCGCCTCGGCCCGGACCCTGCCTCTGCCCCTGTCCCAGTCCCTGCCCCCGCCCCGGCCCCCGCCCTGGCCCCTGCCCGGCCACCCCTGTGTGGGCTGCTCCCGCCTCTGTCTCAGTTAGGATTAGCATAAAAACAAACAAAAACAAACACGCCCACAAGCTAACAGAAGCTGTCTGTGAGAGCGCCTTACTTACAGGCACTCTGAGTGTTCACTGGCCGGCGTGGCTCAGTGGCTGGGCGTTGACCCATGAACCGAGAGGTCACCAGTTCGATTCCCAGTCAGAGCACAGGGCCTGGGTTGTGGGCTTGATAACCAGTTGGGGCGTGCAGGAGGCAGCTGATGGATGATAGTTCTCACCGATGTTTCTCTCTCTCCCAGTTCCTTCTTCTCTCTCTAAAAACCATTAATAACATTTTTTTTAAAAAAATAATGAAGGGTATACAGTCCTGTAAAGCTAGATCAGGACCAGACAATGAAAGTCGTGTGCAGCGGCAAATTGCACATTAGGTTTTAGGCTCAGTCCATTCCCCTGTGAGCCTGTATTGACTCTCAGAAAGCGTTTGCAGCTGGTGAATCTTCAGGGTGTGGCTCTGAGTCCGCACTGTCAGAGCATCCCAGGAACTGTGGTGTGCTCTGTGTCAGCTGCACCAGACCGCAGCGGCTGCCAACGCCACGTGCACACACAAACACACACACCCACCCTCCACACCCACACACACTCACACACGCACGCACACACCCACACACACCTACACCCACATCCACACACGCACACTTGCACACACGCACACGCGCACACACACACACGCACACGTACTCACGCACACACACCTACACCCACACACGCACACGCACACGCACACACGTTCTTACATGTCTGGGGGGCAGAGGGGGGATGTGCACACCAAGGGAAGGCAGGTCATCACAGAGCCACGGTGTCTGTAGTAAAGAATTCGAAATGTGGGGTTTTAAACTGTGTTTAAAAGAAAAAAAAACCATCCTGGGGCCCGCGCAGTGCTGAGGTTGTAGTTTTCGTTGCCATGGCTCTGTGCGCCTCTGTTTCCATCAGCAGAAAAACAGGGTCTCTAAACACAGCGTCCCGCCCCGGCCGAGCCGGAGCGACCGCCTGTCTGCGGGGCTGCCTGTGCTGTGGCTGAGGCCGCCCGTGCTGTGGCTGAGGCCGCCTGTGCTGTGGCTGAGGCCGCCCGTGGTGTGGCTGAGGCCGCCCGTGGTGTGGCTGAGGCCTCCGGGCCCGTGGTGTGGCTGAGGCCTCCGGGCCGTGGTGTGGCTGAGGCCGCCCGTGGTGTGGCTGAGGCCTCCGGGCCGTGGTGTGGCTGAGGCCGCCCGTGGTGTGGCTGAGGCCTGTCTGCGCGGCCGCCCGTGGTGTGGCTGAGGCCGCCTGGCCGTGCTGTGGCTGGGAGGCCGGGCGCCGTGCGGACGGAGTATCACGCTGGGTCCGTCTGTCCTAGGAGACGTGCTTGTGCTTTAAAAGACCCCAAGATTCATGAAAAGTACGAATCTCTGCCCAAGGTCACTTATATGTTCCATTTGGGACAGTATTGGGATTATTTTGGGTGGAAATGGCTTTTTAGTCTACATTTTGGGGTACATTTATCGCATTGTGAATCCACTAGAAGGTCGATACAGGGTTCTCTGGGCGTTAACCTCGTTGAGTTCCTAAGGTTCAAATCCAGATCTGGGTGGTGAGGAGCGCCCGCAGGACATCGCCGCAGCCCCTCCCCAGCCACAGCACGGCCGGGCTTCGTGGTTTAATGCTTTTCACTTGCAGGTAAAGTGTTGAGCCATTTCCAAGATGCTTTTTTTTTTTTTTTTACTTTTGAAGTTTAAATGACAAATACCGCTCAGCCTGAAGGCCATGGAAACCACAGGACATTTCCCAGATGTTACTTACCTCAGAGTGACCCAAACAGCACTGTGGGATTACCTCAGCGTGCTTTTCCACTCGCAGAATGAGAGCATGGAAGGAGGGATGTGCCTTAGGACGGCGTGAGTGTGTCACGCTGAGAAACACCCAGCGCCCTCAGGTCACGGACAGAGACCTACCTCGGTGACATTTCTAGGAAACGTTGTTTTGCTCCTTTTTGAGGATTGTTTTGCTTCCGTCTGTGTCTCCCTCTCCTCACAGATGGGGCCCTCAGGCTTGCAGGGGGGAAGGACAGCCACGAGGGCCGCCTGGAGGTGTACCACCGGGGCCAGTGGGGGACGGTCTGTGACGACGGCTGGACGGAGCTGAACGCGTACGTGGTGTGCCGGCAGCTGGGGTTCAGGTGAGGCCCGGCAACACCGGCCCCCCGGCCACGTCCCATTTAAGCTGGTTAAGTCCTTGCCTTCACCTCTGACACCAGGACCGCACGCTCTGCCATCGGCCTGCCCGCTGGGCCTGTGAGCGAGCAGGAGCAGAGACACAGCAGCACTTTCTCTGCTGATAGAGAACGGGTCTGGCTGTTTATCCCCCTCGCCTTCCCTGCCTCACCTGTCCTTGAGGCGGGGTGACTTCATGTCCCTTTGTGTCCGTTTGAGGCGGCCGTGCGCTGTGGGTGCCCGGTGTCACCCTGCACCCCCTGCGCCGGGTGCTGCCAGTTCTGACGTCACTGCGTCCCAGTGGCAGAGCTGCCGTGCAAGGGCTCTGGGCGTCCATATTCCCTTTCTCAGAAAGCGAGGACAGTTCCCACTTCTGTGAGGAAACAGCTTCTTGTCACGAGGTGACCTCTGGAACGCACCCTCGACCTCACTGTAAAGCCGGTGTCACCCTCGGGCGACATGCTTGGTGCCCCTCCCACAGCGCCCTCCGGGGCGGGTGGCAGGGGTCCGCAGACGGCACTCACTGACCTTGACTGAGCTCACGGGAGCCCACTCTGTCCTCTGGTCCAGGTTCCTGATGTGCTCACATATGGCCGAATCATTTCATTGCGGCTCAAGATAGAGCTACCAGCAAACATGCGTTAACCCTTAACATGTGCTTTCACACAAGCCAGGCATGGCCACGGTTGATACATATTTTTTTTAATTGGTGAAAGTAATGTAAAATATTAGCAAGTTTGAAGAAGACAATAAAAAGTACCCATGCCCTAACCAATTTGTCTCAGTGGATAGAGCGTTGGCCTGAGGACTGAAGGGTCCCAGATTCGATTCCGGTCAAGGGCATGTACTTTGGTTGCGGGCACATCCCCAGTAGGGAGTGTGCAGGAGGCAACTGACTGGTGTTTCTCTCTCATCGATGTTTCTAACTCTCTATCCCTCTCCTTCCTCTCTGTAAAAAATCAATTAAAAATATATTTTTTATTTCAAACAGGAAGGGAGGAGATAGAAATATCAATGATGAGAACCATTCATTGGCTGCATCCTGCACGCCCCCTACTGGGGATCAAGTCTGCAACCCAAGGCTTATGGCCTTGGCCGGAATCGAACCCGGGACTCTTTAGTCCAAAGGCTGATGCTCTATCCACTGAGCCAAGCCTGCTAGGGCTAAAATATATATATTTTAAAAAGTACCCATAGCCGAAACTGGTTTGGCTTGGTGAATAGAGCATCAGCCTGCGGACTGAAAGGTCCCAGGTTCGATTCCGGTCAAGGGCATGTACCTTGGTTGCGGGTATGTCCCCATTAAGGGGTATGCAGGGCTGAAACTGGTTTGGCTTAGTGGTAGAGCGTCGGTCTGCGGACTGAAAGGTCCCGGGTTCAATTCCGGTCAAGGGCATGTACCTAGTAGGGGGTGTGCAAGAGGCAGCTGGTCGATGTTTCTCTCTCATCGACGTTTCTAGCTCTCTATCCCTCTCTCCTCCTCTCTGTAAAAAATCAATAAAATATATTTTTTAAAAGTACTCATAATGTTTCCATTCCTATATCAGTGTCATCAATGTAACTTGCATGTATAACTTTAAATCATCCTAGTAGTAGGCATGGGATTTTTCTATCCATATTTTTACCATTATTTTATTACATAGTTATGATTTTTAGTGACAGCATAATTTCCACTGAATGTTTATACCATGATTTATTTAAAATTTAGGTTCTTTTTTCCCTCCTGTTATAAATACTTCTATCATTCTATTAACACATGTTACTGCCCAATATTTTTGGACACTATAGTTGTAATTATTGGGTCAAGGGGTATGACATACCAGCCAAATAAATAATGACATCTAACGAATGAGAAGTACTTAATAAATGTCATTTCATCTCCAAGGTAATTTGTTAGACTGAGGGCTATATGTCATTTTCATAGATTTAGAAAGATTCATAAAAACTCCTATTTACTATATTTATGTTTTTCTTTATTAGGGTAAACAATTGAGTGACACTGCTTTTTTTCTCCATACTTCTTTAAAGTATATATTCTTAATTTTAGAGATGGAGGGAAACGGAAAGGGAGATAGAAACATCAATAAGAATCATTGATCCGCTGCCTCCTGCACGCCCTCTACTGGGGATCAAGCCCACAACAAGGGCATGTGCCCTTGACCGGAATTGAACCCTGGCCGGACAGACCCTTTAGTTTGCAGGCCGACGCTCTACCCACAGAGCCACACTAGCTAGGGCTCTCCATCTTTTATTTATTTTGTTTCACAAATCCATTTAGGCTTTTTTGTTTTTGCATCCCCAGCGTTATAAAATGTTCTCATAGTATTTGTAAAAGTTCTGGATGACTCTGTTAGAATAGGCATGCTGTGTGCTATGTGTTCCTGCAGTTCACCTGGGAATGGCTGGAGGAAATACTGGTCAGGGGTCTGAGAAGTGTTGGGTGGGTGTCTCTGTGTACGTGGATCTGTGCACGGGCTGATCAGATGGGTGCACTCTGTGGGAATGGTGTCTGTGGACAGTGCTAGTGAGGTGGGATCTAGGCTAATTTCTTTCTTGCCACGTCTTGATGAGTCAGCAAAATAGGGGGTCTTAGAAAAGCTTCATTTTTTTTTTTTTGTTTGCTCAAATGCTGTTCATGGTAAGCAAACGGGGTGACTCAGTGCACAGGGAGAGAATGAGGAAGATCCGGCTTCACAGAAAGGGGTCTTCGTGTTCTCAGCACAGACAGGACCATGTCCGTGTGTGAGTGAGTGCAGTTCCATGGCCTCGGAGGGCCACTTCAGTGCTGACATCCGGCTCCTCGGCTTCCCAGCGGAAAGGAAGCTGGGGGCGGGGTGAGCAGGCCGGGCTGGTGACCAGGTTGCTGGGCAGGTGCGTTAGCAGAGCGTCGGGTTCCAGTGGTGCAGGGTCACGAGTACGGTCAATGGGACACAAGCGCCCTCCATAGAAACATACAAAACCAAGTTCATGTGAGCCCCGAGCCTGTGGAGGGCACGGAACCTGGGGGGTCGCTGCCCCTCCCGCTTTTCCTCTGGGGAGAGGAGACCAGAGCGGCAGGGCCCATGGGACAGAGAGGGGAGCTAGAAGGCTGGTCAGAGGCCCCGGTGGGCCGGCGGCCTCAGCTCCGGGCCCAGCAGAGGCTCTGCCTGCCAGGAGCCCAGGCTAGCTCTCTGCGCCCTCTCGGGGGCGGGCTAACGGGCAGACAGAAGCCAGGCGTGGCAGGAAGGGAGGGTGGTGGTCCGTTCGCTGCACTGCGGGGCCAGCCGGCCGGCCGGCAGGAGGCCCCTGGCCGGCTGCTCGCTTCCCGCGGGTGGGGCAGGCCAAGCCGTCTGCCCGCGTCTGTCCCACCTGCAGGTACGGCAAGCAGGCCCCCGCCAGCCTCTTCGCGGGGAGCACCGGGCCCATCTGGCTGGACGAGGTCAGCTGCTCCGGACGGGAGACCAGCCTCCTGCAGTGCTCCAGGCCGCCGTGGGGGCACCACGACTGCAGCCACCGCGAGGACGTGGGCGTGGCCTGTGCCCCGCGCGGCGAGGGACACCGGCCATCGCTGGGTGAGGACACAGCCGCTGTGTGTGCCCTGTCTGTCCCAGGCAGGGGAAGCGTCCGTCTGGGACCTTTCACTCTGTTCCCTGTGTGTTCTTGTGGTCAGTCACTTCCATTAAAAAATCAATCTTCTGAGTCTTCCCACAATGTTGTAAAGTATCTGCTCCTCAAGTTACCTTCTTTACCGGAATTCAGTTTCCTGCGCGGCATGTCCGGCCAGGCCCTCTAGGAGGGACAGGAGGCTGCCATCCCCCCTCCGGCCGGTGTCGGAGAGGCTGTGGTCACCATGGTTTCACGTCTAACCTCGGGCTGAGTACGCCCCTTGGCATCCCCCGGCTCGGAGACGGGGACGCTCAGACTTCACGCTGGAAAGGGCAGGACTGGGGTCCCATGCTCACCACGTGGGCACTCAGGTAGTCGGGGTGCTGGGCTACCTAACGGTGCCTGAAATTAATTAAAGAGAGTATATGCATTACGAAATCCTGGTGCCTCCCTGTAATTAACAGCAGCAAAAGGACAGTTTTGAAGTAGCAACGGAAGTAATGTTCCGGTTGGGGGCCAGCACAACATGGGGAGCTGGGTGAAAGGGCCGGGCATCAGGAAGGCAGGGAACATGGCTCCAGGAGGAGGGCCGGCCAGGCGGGGGCTGGGGAGCTGGTGGAGCTCGGCTCTGTGTGATGCCGGGCCCAGCAGAGCACAGAGCAGACAGGATGGAGAGCCGGTCACAGGCACACTGGATGGGGCGAGGACGGGCGGAGGAGCCACCAAGCACTTTCTGTCATTAGCCAACGCCTCTTCGTGCTTCTGTGTTGGGGTGGAACACCTACCGGGTGACCTTCCTCCATCTGCTGCGCACCCCGCTGCCGGAGTCTGCAGGCATGTGCCGCTGTGCCTCCTGTGGCTCACTGTGGGCTCCGGCCGGAACCCCTGCTAGTACTGGTAACTGAGTAACGGAAAGCGTGCACCTGGTTCGCTGGGGCTGCCATAGCAGGCAGCTGTCTCAGCGTGGAGGCTGCAAGGCCAAGGTCAAGGTGCGGGCAGGAGCGGTTCCTCCCGGCCTGGGAGGGAGGGCCTGTGTCAGGCCTCTGTGCCTGGGCCCGGCTGCGTGGCCCTGCGTCTCTGCCTCTGGGTCTGTCTGTCCACCCGTCACATTGGATGGGGCCTGCCCCCCAGCCTCGCAGTGTAACCCTGAGAGCATGCAGGCTCAGCGGCCAGCTGCACACCCTCCCGGCGTCGGCGCACACGGGAACCATGCGTGTCTGCGTTTGCTTGCGGTCAGGTGCTCAGCTCCTGCATCCTGCCGTCTGTATGGCGTGAGCCTCCTTGGCAGCAGCAGAGGAGGAGGTCTGCGGTGCTCCCTGTGACCTCTCTCCCACCCCCTCGTTTTCCGCCTCGCCCTCGTCTCAGCGTGTCTGCTCGTGCCTTCTGAGGTAGCGGAGCTGTTCCCGTGAGCGGACAGGCCACACTAGCACAGCTCCCAGTTAAGGCCTTACTGCTTAGAACTCAGTGGCAATAAAATCAGGCTCGACTTTATTATTTCATTTTATTTTTTAAATAAATATATTTTTTATTGACACCAGAGAGGATGGGTTAGATAGAAACACCAATGATGAGAGAGAATGACAGATCGGCTTCCTCCTCACACTGGGGATCGAGCCCGCAACCTGGGCATGTGCCTGACCAGGAATCAGCTGTGACCTCCTGGTTCCTAGGTTGGCACTCAACCACTGAGCCACCCCGGCGGGCAATGCACAACTTTACAGTGTCCTTCCCACCCCCCTCCTCCCTCCCTCCTTTCCCAGCAGCTGGCGCCCGCCCTCCCTCTGCTGCCACTTCACGTGCTGGGACTGCAGAGCTGAGCAGGATGAGCTAGAGGGGGGCGTTTCTGTTGTCCCTTCTCTCCGCTGCCCAGCTGCCTCTAAAAACAAGCAGTGTTTGGGGAAGTCTCTTCCGTTCGCTGTTCGGCTTCTCTGATGCTTTCGGATCATGCCCTAGGTTTCCCCGTCAGACTGGTGGACGGCGAGAATGAGAGAGAGGGGCGAGTGGAGGTGTTCCTCAGGGGCCAGTGGGGAACCATCTGCGATGACGGCTGGACGGACAGGAACGCGGCTGTGACCTGTCGGCAGCTCGGCTTCAGGTAAGGGCGCTGGTTACTCAGCTGGGCACCTCAGGAACACTTCTGAGTCTTTAAGGCCTGTTTCATTGAGTGATTTCTTGAATATTAATTTATAAATCTCATTCAGAATTGTAAAGAATACTAGGTAGAGTGCTTAAAACTTTGTCTTTTCACAAGAGACATATAATATGTCACATACTCGTGTAGCTTTTACTTAATAACAAACCTATGTATATAAAAGCCTAAAAGCAAAGTGTCTCCTAAGGAGAGCGTTCAACCCACTGGGAGTTTGATTGTCACTATGACGTGCGCTGACCACCAGGGGGCAGCGTGGAACAAAGGCAGGCCCCAGCTGGCAGCTGGGAAGGGAGGCCCCAGCCCAGAACAGCAGCCCTAGAGACCCTGGGCCTCTGGTCCTGTGATCACTCTGACGCCGTGTGCTGCCGTCAGCAGGGGCTGAGCTAGCCTCCCCCGTGGTGTGTGTCGTGCTGCCGCCGTGGGAGGCTGTGGATTAGAGAGTGAGTGGTGCTCGCTCTGTGCACAGGGCAGAGACGCTCTGTGAATGCCCTGACAGCGAGCCCTGCGCCTTGGCTCTGAGCCGAGGCCGAACTAGACGCTGCTCTGCCTCCGTCTGGCTCCGGGCTTGCAGACGGCCAGCTGCGGTGGTCTCCAGCCGCCTTCTGTCTCTGCCTTCCCTGTGCTTCCTCTGTGGGCGCTCTCACCGCCCCGATGGCCCCACGCTGGTGCCCGGCTTTCCTGAGCCAGAGGCTGTGTGTCTGCGGGAGCGTCCCCAGGCTCCCAGGCCCCCTCAGCCCAGGCCCAGCCGTCACTCGGAAGGAGGACGCTGGTTCCCGCTGTGAGCGCTGACACGGAGAGGCGGGTCCTGTGGCCTCCTCCAGCCGTGCAGGGCTGAGGCTTTGTGCACGTGTGCAGTGAGTGTGCAAATATCTGGAATGTGTTCCGTGCAGAGGGCTAGGATGTGTCAGCGAATGCACACACACTGTCCAGCTCGTAGTGGGTTATGAATGGTGGTTTGGATTTCAAGCTGTGCCCTCTCTTACACATCTGTTTATGTAAATGTGACTAGTTATTCTATGCAGGATACATTTTTATTTTTTTAAAGTATTTCTATTTTATTTATTTTGTTAATTCTCACCTGAGGAAATTTTTTCCATTGTTTTCTCAAGAAGAGTGGAAGGAAGGAAGGAAGGGAGGGAGAGAGAAACAGGGATGTGAGAGAGACACATGGATTGGTTGCCTCCAGCATGAGTTCCGACCTGGGTCAGGAAGCAAACCTTCAACCCAGGTGCATGCCCTTGACCAGAAGCAAGCCTTCCACCCTTCAGTGCACAGGCTGACGCTCTGACCACTGAGCAATGCCAGCCAGGACTAAGTTATTTCTATTTTAACAAAAATTCAAAATTAACTTTCTAATGTTTTAATTCAAAGTTTGTTTTCTGTTACTCAGACGCTATAAGTTATGCTCAGCTTGGACCCAGTTACAATTCCAGCTGCCCTCTGGCCAGAGTGCATTATTGGTGATCACATTGTCAGCGTCTGCAATTTGCACGTGACACGGATTTCCAGCTTTGAACTTGTAGGCTATAGTTGCAGGCAGGACCAGCCTACCTTAGATGCCACATGAACTTTGTCAGTGATTCATTTTGTTTCCTTTCTCACATTCTTTCTTCCATTTGAACACACACACACACACACACACACACACACACACACACGTATTACATTCCCAGGGAATTTCCTTATTTAAAATCAGCCATTAAAGAGCATTGCTGTTTGAGACCGTTTTATTGTTCATACTTTAGTTTTTCTTTTTTTCCTTCTTTTTCTAAAAAAAAAAAGACAACAGGGTGATTATTAGAAAGTGAGGAAGGAAGAGAAAAAAAAACAAAACACTGATGTGAGAGTGAAACATCAGTCAGCTGCCTCCTGCACGCCCTCCACTGGGGATCAAGCTGACAACCTGGGCATGTGTCCTGACGGGGAATGGAACCGTGACCTCTAAGTGCACAGGACAATGCCCAACCACTGAACCACACCGGCTAGGGCCATACTTCCGTTTTTTCTGTAGACATGACCCAGGCAATCTCATGGTACTTTGGAAATGTGAAGAGAAAGGCCAAATTGGATCCTCACATTGTGGTGCAGCCACAGTTAAGGGGAAGAAGTCCCTAAGCACACCCATCAGTGCATTTTCCTTCCATCTACATGTGTCATTGCTTTGTGCTTACCATCATTCTATGTTCAACTGAACTGGTGAACTGAAGTAAAACAGTCCAGATTAATGAACATTAATGAACATTTGCAGCAATTTTCCATTGTGTTTCTGTCACAATGATGAAGAAAGGCACTGAAAGAATATTTTACTTTGTAATTGTTTTTTCTTTCAAATAAAGTATCTTAGTAAGTAAAACAGTAACTTAATGCTACTATATAACAAATTGGATAATCACCTTCTAGTGCATAATCCACTCCTTCCCAGCAAATAGTGTTTAAATGAGAATCATTTAGGCATTTGCTCTGTGGATGCACTTGAACGTTTGAATGCCTTCCCGCTAGGAAGTGGGGTTTGCTGGGAGAACATGCACAGACTGTGTTCGGGTTGTGACAGAGAAGGGGTCTTTCCTGGGATTGAAGTGTTAAAGTCTTCGGTAAAGCGCTTTTTTGTGGACACCAATCCAGAAAACCTCAGAGCTGTGAAGGCGTGGACTTACTGGTAAGAGGTCCGGAGGCCCATCCCGCCAGCTCTGCTAGGGAGGGTTAGTCCTTGGAAACACTGAGTCAAAACAGCATTACAGTGCACTTCCTTAGGGGAGAAGCAGAACCGGATGACGGAGCCAGGAGAGTGATGCTGGCTAACCGAGAGAGCTTAGAGTCACCAGCAAGCCAGCCGCCCTTCTTCCCGAGCGGCCAGTGATGTCTGGAGCTCCCGCACGTGGCACGCTGTCTCCGAGGCCTGAGAGAGGTGCTGCATCCGCTAGCTCGCTGAGGTGGACCGAACAGCCTGAAGCAGAAAGACGGTCCTCCCCTTTGAACTTCCTGCCAGTCCGTTAGCACAGGCCTCCGCGTGGCATTCTTCCAGAACTGCACGGTTGTTAGCGGGGCCTGCCTTAAAACAACTTACCATCTGCGGGCCTTTGCAGAGACCTAACATCAGTGTAGTGTGTTTGCTCCAGACCATGTGTGTGCGCACCGCCCTGCAGGAGGAGAGCTGTTTGCCTTGGAAAAAATAAAAGTATATCTAATTGTGTCTCACACCTCAGAAACTACACAGCTCTTCAGGTCTGGCATATTTGTACATGACATTTAAAAATAGAGCAGTCACATCCCTCTTTGGTCACATCCAGTGACATATAAATATCACAGGGAGTGACATTCTGTCACTCAGTTTAAAAATACACGAGCAAGCTCTTCTTTGACCTTCACAAATTTCACATAGCTTCTTTTCTCCTGAAACTTCTCATTTAAATGGCCTCTTCACAGAATTCATTATGCTTTAAAAAACGTGTGTGTACATATATATGCATATATACGGTGTCTGTTCGCAGGAACACACAGAGTGCAAGAAAGAGAAATTAAATCCTTCTATCAGGTTCCTCTCTGGATTTAAAAATTTCTAGTGCACAACTGATTAAAAACAACAAATGATTATTAAACATAGGAGAGAAGAGTTGACTCAAGCCCCCACTTAATCAGACGAATGGGCTGGCTTTGTGGTGCTTGTACCAGGAAGGGACCATTGCTATCATCCATTCTGAACTGTGTGGCCATTAGAGGCTTAAATCTTGAAGGAAGGTGCTGCGGTGGGATTCTGGACAGTGAAAAGTATGCCTTTCTCTTGTGAGGGGGAGAAGGGACATTTTGAAAGAGAAGTTCGTCTTGATTTCAGCAAGACCAGCTTTTAGGAAGAATAAACATGAGTTTGAGGATCTGAACACGGATTCTCGCAAAGCCTGACACCCAGTTAAGGGTGAATGTCAGAGCCTCCTGTCTCCGTGAAGTTCCCTCCATGTGCCACTGCCACCCTCACCTTTCCTACAGATGACACAGTCCTTACTTATTAAACGAAAGTCAGCCGGGCAGGGCACATGCCCGGGTTGTGGGCTCGATCCTGTGATCCATGGTTCTCTCATCATTGATGTTTCTATCTCTTCCTCTCCCTTCCTCTCTGAGATCAATAAAAATATATACAGGGTCCTGGATTGCGAGAGAGTGCAGGCCAGGCTGAGGGACCCCACCAGTGCACAATCAGGCCGGGAAAGGACCGAGAAGGGGCTCCAGGGCATGTCCAGCCCATCTCGTTCAGTCCCAATCAGCTGGACCCCAGCAGCAAGCTAATCTATCGGTTGGAGTGTCAATGCACATCATAGCGACTGATGGACCAGTTGATTCTTTGCTCCCTGGTGGTCAGTGCATGTCATAGTAAGCAGTTGGGCAGCCTTAGCATATCATTAGCTTATTATGCTCTGTGTGGCCATTAGAGGCTTAAATCTTGAAGGAAGGTGCTGCGGTGGGATTCTGGACAGTGAAAAGTATGCCTTTCTGCCATTGGTTCTATTTGCATTTTACCCTTTTATTATATTGGATATGAGAGGCCCAGCGCACAAATTCGTGCACCAGCAGGGTCCCTCAGCCTGGCCTGCAGGGTTGGGCTGAAACTGGCTTTCCGACATCCCCCAAGAGGGTCCTGGATTGTGAGAGGGTGCAGGCCAGGCTGAGGGACCCCACCGGTGCATGATTGGGACTGGGGAAGGATGCGGGAGGTTGGCCAGCTGGGGAGGGATTGTGGGAGGGATCCAGGGCATTTCCAGCCTCTCTCGCCAGTCCCAATTGGCTGGAGCATCTGTCTTTTGGTGTCAGTGTATGTCATACTGGTGGTTGACTGTCTTCCCTCGGTGGTCAGTGCACATCATAGCATGCGGTTGAGTGACCTTAGCTTATCGTTAGCATACTACACTTTGATTGGTTGAATGGACAACCCAATCCTGGACACTTAGTATATTAGACTTATATAGAATGATTGTCTGCCTAGAAAACCAAAGCGAATCAACTGGAAAGACACTAGACCTAGTGTTTGTTAATGTAAATTATAAATTATAAATGTTTTTAAAAGCATTAATGTTCCTATACGCTAGGCAGAAAATAAAAATTTAAAAGTCTCCTTTATAGAAGGCACAAAAACAAAAATCTAGGACTACACTTGGCAGTAACTGAGACGGACGTGAAAAAAACAAGGTCTTTTCTGAAGGTAGGACACCTCACACATGATCCATCGCAGCCCTGATGGGAAGACTAATTAGAAACGAACCTGCATCAAAGCTCTCCTTGTAAAATCTGTTTCCTGGTGTGAGGAGAGGGAGGGGCTGATTTCCGGATTCAGCTGAGATGAAAGCCTTGGGCCTCGGGCGGGCCCGGGCACAGGCACAGCATCAGCGGCACCTCCGGCAGCGGCCTTGGCCTCGGTCGCCCCCTTAGGTCACGGGGGACATAGACCTGCCCAGACCCGGCCCCTCCACGATTCTCCTTTAATGCGGTCAGGTGGGGCTCACGTTTTGCTAAATTTTAATTTTTTTCAATCACAGTTTGCATTTGGTATTGTTTTGTGTTAGTTTCAGGCGAACCGCCTAGCGGTAAAACAGTCATCCGCTTTGTAACCAGGCCCGGCACCGGGCATGGCTATAGGCTCTGCTGCATTTTAAAAGCCCCCAAAGGTCACCTAATGCGTGGCCCAGGGGCATCGCTGAGCTGTGGAGACGGAGGAGTGGCTTCAGGCCTTGGCGCTTGGTCAGTGAGGAAGGAGAAGGCCTCACACAGCGGCAAGCAGTGACAGGGACAGGCACTCAGGGAGGAAAGGGAAGCTGACCCCTGGGGAACACTGAGAGACAGAGAGAGAGAGAGAGAGAGAGAGAGAGAGAGAGAGAGAGAGAGAGAGAGAGAGAGAGAGAGAGAGAGGGAGAGAAAGAGAGAGAAACAGGGAGAGAGAGGGGGGGAGGGGGAGGGAGAGGGAGAGGGAGAGGGAGAGGGAGAGGGAGAAGGAAAGGGAGAAGAGAAGGGAAAGGGAGAGGGAGAGGCAGAGGCAGAGGCAGAGGGAGAGGCAGAGGCAGAGGGAGAGGCAGAGGCAGAGGCAGAGGGAGAGGCAGAGGGAGGGAGAGGGAGAGGGAGAGGGAGAGGGAGAGGGAGAGAGGCCAGAGGCAGAGGCAGAGGCAGAGGCAGAGGCAGAGCAAGAGCAGAGGCAGAGGCAGAGGGAGAGGCAGAGGGAGAGGCAGAGGCAGAGGCAGAGGCAGAGGGAGAGGCAGAGGGGGAGGGAGAGGGAGAGGCAGAGGCAGAGGCAGAGGCAGAGGCAGAGGCAGAGGGAGAAAAGCTCTTCCTTCAGTTCCTTCCATGCAGCCCCGCGTGGCAGAGGCACAGCTGCTTCCCAAGGCGGTGCCGGCCAGCGTGCCTGCGGAGCCGTAGGAAGGCGCCTGCTCTGCCCGGAGCCCGTGGCCCCTCAGCCTGGTGCTCTTCGCAGGGGCCCCGCCCGGGCGCCCGAGGCCCCTCAGCCTGGTGCTCTTCGCAGGGGCCCCGCCCGGGCGCGGGCCATGGCGTACTTCGGGGAAGGCCGGGGGCCCATCCACATGGACAACGTGGCGTGCACGGGCAGCGAGCGGGCCCTGGCCGACTGCCTCAAGCAGGAGGTGGGGAGGCACAACTGTCGCCACAGCGAGGACGCGGGCGTCATTTGTGATTATCTCGGCAAGAAGGCGCCAGGGAACGGGGATAAAGGTAAGTCCCCTCTGGCCCCGCAGCCCCGGTCCTGACGTCCTGACGTCCTGACGGAGCGGCACCCACAGCCAGCCCAGCCCGGGAAGCCCGCCGTGCTGTGGGCGGAGGCTCTGCGGGCATCACCGTGGGGGGGGGGGGGGTCGGCGTCCCGAAAGCCCCAGCTGACATTTATTAATACTTCATAAGAAGAAATGAAAGTGCGAAGACAAACGCCGGGGGCACTGCTGCTCAGCCTGAGAGTTAAAACAACAGGGATCATCTTTTAAATAGAAGGAATCCTTTTTTATAGGTTTTATCTTTTGAAATTAAAAATGTCAGGAAAAGGAGAAAGAATCTTTTCATAGGAGACAGTCCCTGATGTGTTGCACTTTTTTTTTTTTTAATATATTTTATTGATTTTGTACAGAGAGGAAGGGAGAGAAATAGAGAGCTAGAAACATCGATGAGAGAGAGTCATCGATCAGCTGCCTCCTGCACACCCCCTACTGGGGATATGCCCGCAACCAAGGTACATGCCCCTGACCGGAATCGAACCCGGGACCCTTCAGTCCCCAAGCCGACGCTCCATTCATTGAGCCAAACCGGTCCCGGCTGATGTGTTGTACTTAAATAGAAGAGTTGTTGAAAGCTTCGAGTGTAATTTTTATGAAACAAGTACTGCTTTAACCAGTTAGCTGCCGCCGTCCGAAACGGAAGCCACCCTGCGAATTGCAGCCGCTGTGGGCGTGGGCGGGTGAGCGAGAGGGGACCATGGCTGTTTGGAGAAGCTGGCCTGTGGGTGAAGAGCCGTGGCCTCTGCTCACACGGGCTGTGCTGGCTTTCCGAGCAGCGGGAGCCTCAGCACCGGTCCTTCTCTACCACTGTCGCCTGCTGCCCAGGAGCAGACCGTCCGTAAGCGGGGTCTCCTTCGTGTGGTTCTTCGCTGTCTGGGGGGCTTTGGAGTGTAGAGAGAGACCTTTACAACCTTTTGTGCTCGGAGACACGTGTGTTCCTATGCATGACAAACGGGAGTTGGCAAGCCAGTTCTTCCCAAGTGTTGGCTATAACGTGTTTTATTAAATTCCCTTCAGCAATTCAACCTCCAGTTACAAGTGGAATGTAACTAGTAGAAAATTCTTTCAATTATTCCTTAAGCAAAGGGAAAACACAAAAAACCCAGCAATTGTAAAATGGTTTACAACATTTACCATATTCCCATGTAAACCTATTTTAAAGTATGACATAGATTTATTTCTCCACAATTTATGCATTTGTTCTTATGCCTTCTTAGAGTTAATCCTCACCCAAGGATATTTTCCCATTGATTTTTAGAGAGAGTGGAAGGAAGACAGGGAGCGAGAGCGAGGGAGAGAGAGAGAGAGAGAGAGAGAGAGAGAGAGAGAGAGAGAGAGAGAGAGAGAGATGTGAGAGAGACACATTGATTGGTTGCCTCCCGCACATGCCCAGACCTGGGGCCAGGATTGATCCTGCGAGCCAGGTACGTGCTCTTGACTAGAATTGAACCTGGCCTTCGGTCCATCGGCTGACGCTTTATCTCCTGAGCCAAACCAGCCAGGACAGGCCTTCCTGGAGTTGCAGCAATGTCTGTTTTGATACATTTCCATGGTTCCAGTGCTACTGTACTTCAGATAAAGAGATTCCTTCGCAGACCCCCGACTGCAGAGTCCGGCACACTCACTGCTGCTTCTGTGCTGAGGCTCGCGACCTAGTGACGGACTGTGAGAGGGCGACTCAGACTGGCGCATCGGAGGGTCCTTTCGTAAACGAGCTGCATTTAGCCTTTCAGTCATTGGAGCAGCGGACTTGGTGGCCTTCGGAAGATGTTCCTTCCTTGCGAGCTGGTGCTCTGCTCAGAATGAGGCCAAGGCCAGCCCCGCTGGCTCAGAATTACCTCATCCCTGCTTGGCCTGGCAGGAGGGTCCTGGCAAACCTGTGTTCTCCCCCCACATGTTAGAGCTGGCAGTGCCAGCGAGAGGCCCGGCCTGAGCATGAGCTCACGTGGCACTCAGTCCTCTGGGGGACCTTGCGGCACCTCCGCCATAGGACATGCTAGTGCTGATTCCTGCTGAGTCACCCTCTACTGGTTACCAAGGCAACCATTGGTGCTGAGGTCTCTGTCCTCACCCAGAGAGGAAATCAGTCTCTGCCTCTCCTTTACACACATGTACCTCCCCAGTGAGCAGAGCTCACCTGTCAGTTCTCCTTCTTAAACATCGGAAAATCAGCCATACTTTAGATTGCACCTGCTTCTGCACACACTCACCATATATTTTTAACTTGGCTCTTTTGCTTACGCTCTTGCTGTAGAGTCTGTTGTCTTGGAAATGGGATTAAATACAGTTTGCTGACCCAGCCAGAGTGGCTCAGAGGTTGGGCATCGACCTATGAACAGGAGGTCGCAGTTCTATTCCCAGTCAGGGCACATGCCTGGATTTCGGGCTCAGTCCCCAGTAGGGGGCGTGCAGGAGGCAGCTGGTCCATGAATCTCATCATTGATGTTTCTCTCTCTCCCTCTCTTCCTTCCTCTCTGAAATAAATAAAAATATTTTTAAAAATTATTTAAAAAGTGCTTACAGCTCTTCTCGAATTTGTCTAGCAGGTCTTCTGGTTTTTACCAGAAGACTCTAAAAAATGAAATAAACGAATGAATGAGTGCGGTTTGCCACCGAGGGGCACAGCGAGCCCTGTGCGTGCTGAAATGGGAGTCGGGGTGCACGTGGGCCCGCTGCCCGCTGAAGGGGGCTGCCCCCCAGGTGCCTGGCACGGGGCTGGCAGAGGCTGTGTGAACAGAGGGGCTGGACCACCGGGCCTTTGGGTAATGTTCCGGCGCCCAAACAGCCTCTCCCAGCGGAGGAGGCGGCGTGGGTTCTGATGGGTCAGACCCGGAACCGGGACCCCAGGGCCTGCTCTGCCGTGAGTGGCGCTGCCCTGGGCGTGAGAAGGCGCCTGGGGCTCCTGCCAGGAAGGCAGCCAGTCCTCCGAGGAGGCGGCACTTGAGTCGGAGCAGGAGCGGTGGGGTCTGTGTGGCTGTTTCCCGCCCCGATCGGGAGTAATTCCTACGTTTCTGCCCAGCGCCCGTTCCGCCCGGCTGTGGGCTCCGGCCGATGCTCCGGCGGCAGAAGCGCATCGTCGGCGGGAAGAACTCGCTTAGGTAACGGTTCCCATGGAGACCCAGGTCAGAGGCACTGGGTGACTCGGTGCAAACGGGGAGAGGTTTACTCGTGGTGTTCTCCAACCAAACCCGGACCCCCTGCGCGCGCCCGGCCCCCCTGCGCGCGCCCGGCCCCCTGCGCGCGCCCGGCCCCCTGCGCGCGCCCGGCCCCCTGCGCGCGCCCGGCCCCCTGCGCGCGCCCGGCCCCCTGCGCGCGCCCGGCCTGTGCGTTCTCAGCCGCTGTCCGATTGCCAGCTGCTGAGCGCGTGGCAGAAACCAGGTCCCGGAGGTCGGAGCCAGCGCGGCCCAGAGCGCACTGAGTGTGGCATCGGGGCCTCTGGACGTGGCTCCTGCTCACAGTTACTTCGCTGCTGCACTTTCTGTGGAAACCAGCGCCTGCCCAGCGAATGCTCTGCAGGCTGCGAGGGGAGGGCGTGAGGAGGATGTGAAGCACGGAGGAGGGCTGGCTTCTGGAACCGGGTGCCCAGGCCCCGCTGTGCAGGGTGGGGCACCGTTCACCCGGGCCCTCTGATGCCCCCTAGCCTGCCCTCTCCTGGGCCTGACGGGCCGCCTGCTGTCTTCCAGGGGCGGCTGGCCCTGGCAGGTGGCGCTGCGCCTCCGGTCCCCCCGCGGGGACGGCCGGCTCCTCTGCGGGGCCACGCTGCTGAGCAGCTGCTGGGTGCTGACGGCCGCGCACTGCTTCAAGAGGTACGTCCACTCCGTCCATTCCGACAGCCTCCCCTAGTTCCTTCCCGCCTTCCTCCCCAGCACCGCCCCCCTCCCTTCCTACCTTCCTCCCCAGCACTGGCCCCCCAATCCATCCCTTCCTGCCTTCCTCCCCAGCACCGCCCACCCTCCCTTCCTGCCTTCCTCCCCAGCACTGCACCCCCCCCCCCTTCCTTCCTGCCTTCCTCCCCAGCACCCACAGGGCCAGGCTCACCGCTGCCCGGTGTTGGAGAAAGCCTGGACTGGCCTTAGGGGAACAGAAGGTGGTGTTCGGGGGAGGCAGCTACTGTAGCGCTTGCTGAGAGCACGCCAGAGGGTGACATGGTGCCGAGAGCTAGCAGAGACCCCTGGTTATCTGGTTGGTTATCTGGTTAGGAAGGCGGGGGACAGGTGGCCCCTGGCTACCACTCAACAGGCACAGGAGGCCCCTGGCTACCGCACTCAACAGGCACAGGCGCCCCTGGCTACCACTCAACAGGCACAGGCGCCCCTGGCTACCACCCAACAGGCACAGGCGCCCCTGGCTACCACTCAACAGGCACAGGCGGCCTCTGGCTACTGTACTGGCCAGTGTTGCTCGAGATGGTTTTTAAATTCTATTTCAAAGATACACGAAACATTTCAGCAGTACTTTCAAGGGTGCACAGTTTTTCTCGTTTGAAAAGTAATAAATCACTTGGGGTATTTAAAACCTGAAGACATTAATTAGGCATATTAAATCTTTAAAATAGTAATATCAGTATACAGAAAGTGGGAGTTAGTTGATTATTGGCCACTATTGGTTTTTAGTCTTGGGACCTGAAATAATCCTAAATGTTGCTTCCATTTGGAAGCAGAGCCAGCAGGTGACATTCTGTGGGCACGCATGTAAAAGGCCTCTGGGTTAAAGACGGATGAGTTAAGTTGGAGATGGATATCCCCCAAGGAAGCACAGGAAACGGTATTCCAGGTCTGGGGCAGGTGGCTGATGGCGACATCATCTCTGTAGCGTCGTTGGGTGTCTTGAGCCGGACAGTTAAATCACATGGCGTTGACAGGGCCTGCACAGCCTGGCTGTGTTTGGCGCGTCTAGCTTCCGGGAATGGACAGGAGCAAGGGGGAGGTTGTGCTCTAGGGGTGGGCAGACCCTGGAGCAGGGGTCCTCAAACTTTTTAAAGTGGGGGCCAGATCACGGTCCCTCAGAGAGCTGGAGGGCCGGACTATATGAACTACTAATTCCTACTGTAACACCTCGGCTGCGCTCACTGCCCAAAAAACCTGGCGGGCCAGATCAGACTCCTCTGCGGGCCGCATGTGGCCCGCGGGCCGTAGTTTGAAGACGCCTGCCCTGGAGAATGCCAACTTCTCTACATTCACACCCAAGGAAGGCCTGGTTCCCAGTGGACCACCTTCATGTTCTGGGGAAAAGTTAGGATGGGAGCTGCTCCATGTCATTCCCCCTCCCCGCAGCCTAGGAAGTGGTGCCCATGAAGCCGGAGCCGGGGGTTGTCAGATAAAAGGACAGTGAGACTATGGGATGCAGCCTGGGGAGAGGGAGGTCAGGGCCCAGGGACTGAGCTATGGTGGGCTTGAAGGATGCAGCCTGGGGGGAGGGAGGTCAGGGCCCAGGGACTGAGCTATGGTGGGGTTGAAGGATGCAGCCTGGGGGGAGGGAGGTCAGGGCCCAGGGACTGAGCTATGGTGGGGTTGAAGGATGCAGCCTGGGGCGAGGGAGGTCAGGGCCCAGGGACTGAGCTATGGTGGGCTTGAAGGATGACTCCTGCATCGCGCAGCGGTGGGGGCAGAGCGGTGGGAGGAAAGGGGGAGTTCAGGGGCGGGTGACATGGGACACGGGCTTGCGGTAGCTCTGGGGGCCGTCACTCGGCCACGACCACCTTACAGCATCGGGAAGGCTGACCAGCTCCTGCCTCTCAGGTACGGGAACAGCACGCGGAGCTACGCTGTCCGGGTGGGGGACTACCACACGCTGGTGCCTGAGGAGTTTGAGGAGGAAATCGGAGTCCAGCAGATTGTCATTCACGGGGCGTACCGGCCGGACAGCAGTGACCACGACATCGCCCTGGTCAGGCTGCAGGGCCCGGACGGGCAGTGCGCCAGGCTCAGCAGCCACGTGCTACCCGCCTGCCTGCCGCTCTGGAGGGAGAGGCCACAGAAGACAGCCTCCAACTGCCACATCACAGGCTGGGGAGACACAGGTAACGGAATGACGGATGGGGAGGCGGGAGGGTCACCTGGCCCATGGCGGCTCGGATGGTTGGTTGTAAAATCTTAGTGGATTCAGATGAGGTCATGAACTTGGACTCACAATCTGGGTGTGGAGCTAAAGCCCGTCATACATGTGTATGAAGACAGGGCTTCTGTTTAGAACAGTTACTGTCACTACATGCTGACGATAATTGTCACTTGTAATCGGTCCTCACGTCAGGGAGGCAGAGGGATCTTAGAGGAGTGGACGTACTCACCCACACCAGCCTGAGCATCCCTCCCCTTTTCTTTGCGGAGTTCAGATGCCCACGCCTGCATGCCTGCTTTCTGTGGGGCTGTCTGTAGCGAGTCCATAATGCTGCTAGTGTGATGCCCAGATTTCGTGATCCCCAAAGACCACCAGGGAGCCGAGTCCAATGCAAAAGCACAGAGCCTTTATTTGAGCTAGCCCGAGCTCAGTCCCACATACACCGGCGCAGTGGCGAGGTGGGGAGAGAGCGAGCTTCCACAGGACAAAGGGTTTTACGGGGTCTGGGTCGGGGGAGGGTCAGGCCCCAGTTGGCTGACCCCAGTTGCAGGTCAGGGTTTTATTCCAGGGTTTTACAGCTGGGACGGCACAAAGACAGGAAATGACTAACGCATTCCTGGGTCTGAGCTATGCCGTTTCCCCGAAAATAAGACAGTGTCTTATATTAATTTCTTCTCCCAAAGTTGCACTAGGTCTTATTTTCAGGGGATGTCTTATCTTTCCATGCGCTAGGTCTTATTTTCGGAGGATGTCTTATTTTCAGGGAAACACGGGTATGCCCTGCTATCTCCTGACTGGTCAAGGGTGGCGCACAAGGCCAGCATCGAGATGAGCACTAAGTGCACATGGGGCTGGCTCTTCAACAAAGGGCGGTTCTGCTGAGAGCCTTGCTCTGCCCTTTCACTGGTTCGTCTGCCACACTCAGTGCGGAGAAGCAGGTCAGTGGAGGGAAGAAGGTGCCGAGTGCCAACATGGCGAAAGGCAGGCGGTGGCACCTGTGCCGTGTAAACCGCACTAGCGTCCCAGCAGAGCTTCTATTGGAAAGACGGTTCACGATCCTGCAGCTGCCAGTGCGGCCCTTCCTGCGGGACCGCGGCGGGAAGCTAACGGACGTTTGTTTGCAGGCCGCGCCTACGCCCGGACCCTGCAGCAGGCCGCCGTGCCCCTGCTGCCCCGGAGGCGGTGTGCGGAGCGCTACCAGGGCCGCTTCACCGGGAGGATGCTCTGTGCCGGCAGCCTCCGCGCACACAGCCGGGTGGACAGCTGCCAGGGGGACAGCGGGGGGCCCCTGGTGTGCGAGCGGCCGGGAGCCGGCTGGGCCGTGTACGGGGTGACCTCCTGGGGGCACGGCTGTGGAGCCAAGGGCTCACCCGGCGTTTATACCAAAGTGTCAGCCTTTGTACCTTGGATCAAAAGTGTCACCAAACTGTAATTGGTGGAACCCTCGAGGAAGCGGTACTTAAAAGTGCGTTGGAAACTTTCAACCTCGGCGGTAGTCCTCAGCCAGCGATGCCCGCCATGGGGATGAGGTCCACGTGTGCAGTTGTGACGGGACCCTGGCCCCTCCACTGCGGGGGACCTGTGGCGTGGTGCTGACTGCCCTTCATTGCATTGCCGCCTCCCATGTTAGTGTCCCTGGAGACTAACTTTGTTCCCATTTGAACCTTATTTAACTCTATTTCTCATCATCCTCTGGATATTGTATATAATGATTGTGCAATAATGTTTTTACCCTTTTTTGGAGAACTTCTGAGTCAGTGATCTGTGGATTCATATTATGTGCCCAGGCTTGACGGAAAAAATACTCATTACCTCACTGGAGTATGAGTGCCACCGTTTCCTGTTTAAGTTTCTTCAATTTGTTGGATGCACAACCTAATTTATCCACCTGATGTGTTAGCATCTCTACTCTGGTTACTTTTAACCATGTCACTCAGCTGGGCAACGTGTTTGTTCCTTAGCGTCATGCGGTCTCCTGCACCCTGACTGATGAGGGCAGACTGCTGCCTTTGGATATCCTGAGGCCAGCCATGGTCCCGTTTAACAATCCATTAAAACGCTTTCCCTGCTGTGTGGGGAGCTCCAAAGAACTGCTTATCCCGTGCATTGCACCCACCAGTGTGTGCCCGGGCACCATGTAGGTGGGTGGGTGGTGTGTGCCCAGGCACCGCACTGCTTACAAAAGGCTAGTAAGGCAGCTGGTGGGCCTTGAATCCAAACTCCAGAGGGCCCCAAAGCTGAGTGGCATTGTGCCCCCATGTTCTGCCCAAAGGGAATTTTCCCTCTGGCTCATCCCCAAGTGCTAAGGACTGCCTGTCAGGACATCCTTGCTGGCAGTGTGCTCTTGGCTGTCTGAAAGGCCTGTCAGGACGCTCCAGTGGCCCTGTTGTCAGACACGCTGGAGTCCTCCCCAAACCCCAGGTCTTCTCTGGTATCCCAGGAGTCTCTGCACACTAAAGGCCTAAGGGTGGCTACGTGACCCTTTTAAGGGACTTCTCCCTTCCCTCTGCATCGTTGTCCTGCTTTGCAAACCCGCAGCTTGGTAGAACTGGTGCTAACCTAATGGTGCTCTGCCTTATTGAACTGCAATGCTTATCGATAGAGTAAAATTACCAAAAGCCTGAGATTGGAGGGGTGTTAAGGAAACCTGAGTGGTGTTAAGTTCCTTTAACCTCCAAGTCAAACTCTTTGGTTTAACATTTGTTGATTATGTGACTTAACAGAAGTGTAAATAAAGTGCAAGCCTTTCACCTGGTGCAGCTGCCTAATCTGTGTGGCAGGACTCTGCTCCCCAAGGTGAGACATGAAGAGAGCAAGGTCACCGGGCCATGCACTTGCCAGAGCTGAGGTCCGGATGCCTGGTGCAACAGGCACCCAATGAAAATATACTTCAAGGAACCCCAGGGTAACCATGTCCCCTCCCCCCAGTATATCACTGGTCACGAGGTTGGGACTCCTAACCTTTTCCTCCCTCAAGATGACACCCAAGCAAATGGTTTGGGGCTGCCTCAAGACCCCCTGCCCTGGCACCTACCCATCCGGTGGAGATCACCCCTGGAAAGCTAATGAATATTCTATTAATACTCTCACCTAGGAGTTCCACCTGCCAAGAGCTAAATACACTCAGGACAAAGGACCAGTGCACACTTACCCAACGGAGCACAACTGTGCCATCCCCACAGGCTGTACCCCACCTCTAAGGGTCCCTGAGACTCCATCCAGGGGAGCAATGGGCAGCAGCAGCTGTTCCGAGCTAACCCCCGAACCTGGCTCCAAGGCCCCCCTTCTCCTTGCCTGAGAGGGCTATTTAGCATGCCCACACACCACGGACTGGAACCTCCATGTACCCGCTTCCCCATGTGCTCTCCTGACAGCACTAGCACTTGTAAGCACCTTCCCACTTAGCAACCAGCCAGCGCACACCGAACATGCAGATGAACCAAGCCCTTTATTTAATTGTTAACAGGCACACTCATTGCTACTTAAAACATTCAGGTTTGCCGAAGCCAGTTTGGCTTAGTGGTAGAGCCTCGGTCCATGGACTCAAAGGCCCCAGGTTCGATTCCGGGCAAGGGCATGTACATTGGTTGCAGGTACATCCCTGGTAGGGGGTGTGCAAGAGGCAGCTGGTCGGTTTCTCTCATCGACGATTCTAGCTCTCTCTCCCTTCCTCTCTGTAAAAAAAGTCAGTAAAATATATTTAAAAACACACACAAAAAAACAAACATTCGGGTTTATGCAGAAAATGCTCCCTCTGTGGCTTCCAGAACTTTGTTTTCCCATCACCTTTCCCACTCCACCCTGGAGCTGAAGCCTGGAATCCTGTGCAGTGCGGGAAGCTCCAGGAGACTTCACCGGTTTCTCATCCCTGCAAGGGAAGAACAGCTCAATAAAATTCCGATCTGTGTACCCAACTCACAGGTAGTTCAGCTACTCCCACCGAGTTGGTTAATTATTGCTCTGAGTTACATAATGCCAGCAGCACGGCCAGCTCAGGCCTCCCACTTCCTCGCAGTAAGATTAACTCTGAAATAGGATAAAAGGGACGTACCTTGTCTCCATCACCATTGAAGCAACTAGTTCAACTTAGCGGAAACATTGAGAAACAGCTTTGCATAACCCAGCGCCCTCCCGGGTTTTACAGGTGAAGACTGTTACTTGTGCAAGTCAGAATCTGATACCAATTAGATGGTGACAGCTTTGCCAATAAACAAGAAAATGCTCTTCCATGGCTAGGAAGGGAGACTGCCACAGTGACAGGTCCCAAAGACACATGGAGATCCGCGACCCGGCCCGGCCCGCCCGGCGGCCACGAGCGCGCGATACTCACCGCGGTGCGCGGCCTCCCGGCGGCCACGGCCCCAGCGTACCCGGCCGTCCTCGCCCGCGGGGACTCGGCGCCGGGGACTCCGCACTAGGGCCTCAGTGCCGGGGCTGCACGTGGCGGCCGCGGCCTACGCGACCCCGAGGCCGCCCGGGCCGTCCCGCCCGCAGGCTGCCGCCGCCAACCGCGGCCTGCCGCCGCCAGACCCTCGAGTCGGCCGCATTCCGACCGGGCCACCGGGCTCCGACCGGGCCACCGCCTCGGCGTAGTGCCCAGGACCGCTCCCCGACGCCGCCCGGACGAGAAAGGCCGCACGCTCCTGCGCACGCGCTCTTATACAGCGGATGACGTCATTCCGGGGCGCGCCGCGAGGGGCGGGGCTGACAGGGAGAGATGGCGTAAGCCCCGCCCCAGCTCCGCCCCCTCCTTCGACGGCTTCCGCCCACTAGGCTGACGCATGCGCATCCAGGGGAAGCCAAACGTTCTCGCGAGAACTGGAAATCCCGGCGCGGAGGCGCGCGGCGGACGGGCGGAGCGGTGGAGCCCGCTTCTTCCGGGCGGTGGCTGGAGCGGCGGCTGGCGGCCCCGCGGGCTCGCCTTTGCGGGGAGCCGCACGGGCGCGGGCGCCGTGACCCGCCGTGGCTGCCGGGCCGCGGCCCGGGCTCTCGGGGGCTCATCGCTGAGTCACCAGGTCGAAGGAGCGGGTCCGGCTCTTTCCTCCATCCTGAAAGTTCCCATCTAGTCTTCCTTTTTAAAAACAGATACACTTGGGAAGTGCCCGGCTAGCTCAGTCGGTAGAGCATGAGATTCTTAAAAACACTTGGCTTAGGACATTTATTAGCTTTAGGTGTAGACAATGATTGGTATTTAAAAATATATATTTTATTGATTTTTCACAGAGGAAGGGAGAGGGACAGAGAGAAACACGGATGAGAGAGAACCATCGAAAGCTGCCTCCTGCACCCCCCTACCCCCTCCTGGGGATGTGCCCGCCTCCAAGGTACATGCCCTGGACCGGAATCGAACCCGGGACCCTTCAGTCCGCATTCTGACGCTCTGTCCACTGAGCCACACTGGCTTTGACATGATTTAATATGTTGTGAAATGATCACACTAAATCTAGTTAAACTCAGTCCCACACATGTTATATATATTTTTTTAAGGGGACTTTTAAAATCTACTCAGCAACTTTCAAACATGCAGCATTATTAGCTGTAGTTGCCATGCTCACATCTCCCTGGGACTCCTGGTTTTAACCAGAAGTGTGGGGGGAAAACCCTTGGCCTTGCTGTGGCTCCTTCCTGTTACTGACAGCTCGTCAGTCACAGCGATCTCAGAGGTTTGTACCTTTTACTCCTGCACACCTGCCGGCCACACTGCTTTGTCTCCATCTGCGAGCTTGTTGTCCAACTTTTCTGTAAATATCAAACGTTGAAAATAAAGCTAATAAAAAAGCACCCAGGACTTTGCATTCTGTTCTGTTTCCACTTTAAGCATTGCTTTGTGACCGTTTCTGTCTACTGGTAGTGTGACATTTGAGGCTTAGATAGCGATAGGTTTGTGGGGTTTGGGGGACGAAGCTCATGGATTTTTCCAGTGTGAAGCCTGATCTCAGACGGGATACTCAGACCATGCGGTGTAATAAACAGGATAACAACACTGACTGTGAACAAAGGCTGCCCTAGGGATTGTACATGCAGCGCGCGAGGTGTCTGCTCTGCGTTTGACAGGGACGGAGCAGCTCAGTGAGAATGCTCGTTCTTCAGCTCCCTGCTCCTCCCCGCGGCCTGCACGCTTTTGTGTAGAGACGCTGGTGCTATCAGAGGAACAATAACCTGCACATCTTTCCGGAGAAAAGTCAGGAAATGGCCTGGAGGCTTTCTTTTACTCGAGCCTTGTGTTTCAGAAAGTTGTTCATCCATAAATAACTCCTGCGTCCTGCTCTCCACAGGCCTGTTCTGGGTGTGAGGGCAGGAGCAGTGAACACAGAACCACCGGCTGTGCCAGAGCTGGCGTTTCAGTGGCGGGATCGGTGGAACCAGCCTGGGAGACCTGGAGGGGAAACCCCGGAGATGAGCCCTGTGAGCAGGTCAGCTGTGCGGGAGCCGACCCCGAGGCCTGGATCCTGCACTGGTCTCTCCTGGGCCCCAGCTCCACCTGGTGTTGGAGGAGACACAGGAGGAGGAGACGCAGGAGGAGCTGGTCCTGTCAGACCAGGCGTCCCTGGAGTCGGGGAGAGGCAGGCAGCAGGTGCAGACCTGGCTGGGCCACACCGCCGGCCGCAGGCACAGGAGGCACAGGTGCCTGGCCTGCAGTGGTGCCTCACGCCCGTCTGACCGTCGGGCGGGAAGCCTCTGCCATCGCTGGCTTCCCTTGCCTGTCTCAGCAGGATGTCTGTGGCCCCCCGCTGACCTGCCTTGTCCAGGGAGGGGGATGGGGTTGGAGCCCCAGCCCAGGGACCTGTCAGGCCGCAGAGGAGAGAGTGAGGAGGGGAGAAGTACTGGGGGGGAAAGGGGATTGAACTGTCAGAGGCTGGCAGGGAGGCTGTGTCCTGGGGCCTTTTTCATCTTCTCCCCCACTCATCCAGCCCTCCCTGCCTGAGCCATGGAAAGCGAGCTCCTCAGCAGAGTGAGGGGGGAGGCGCGCTGGGTGAGAGGAGAGGAGGAGGTGGAGCTAGGAGAGTGAACAGTGAAGGGCAGCAGGGCCCCTGGGCCACACAGGGCCTGCGTGGGGGCTTGTATGAATTAAGTTCATTCCCAGGTGAGAAGGAGCAGGCCTGCACTCTGTGCTCCCCACGCTCAGCTGCCCGGGGCAGGTGGGAAGGGGGCAGGTGGGAGGGGGGCAGGTGTGATGGCCGTGAGAGCTGGGATGCACTGAGGTTGGGGTTTGCAGGAGAGGAAGCAGAGTGAGCAGGGAAAGGGTGTGGGCAGGGACGACAGAGGTCTGTGGACCTGCGGTGGACTCTCACCCAGGGCGGGCTGGGTGATGACACCGGAGAGGAGCAGGGACATAGGAAATGTAAGATCCATGAATGCTGAGGTCCTGGAGGCCGAAGGTCGGTTGGAGCTGCGGTACACAGTACGTGCCTCGGTCAAATATCTGTAACGCATGTTGATTGAGAAGTTCAGCAAGAATCACGCTGAGCCTGGTATGGTTCAGCAGAGACATGGAGCTGCCCAGGTGTCCTGTGGTCCTAACCTGGTTCTCCGTGTCCCCTGGGAGGGATGGCCGGCCTCTGTCCCCTGGGAGGGTGGGGGCCTCTCTGTCCCCTGGGAGGGGTGGCTGGTCTCTGTCCCCTGGGAGGGGTGGCCGGTCTCTCTGTCCCCTGGGAGGGGTGGCCGGCCTCTGTCCCCTGGGAGGGTGGCCGGTCTCTGTCCCCTGGGAGGGGTGGCCGGCCTCTGTCCCCTGGGAGGGGTGGCCGGCCTCTGTCCCCTGGGAGGGGTGGCGGTCTCTCTGTCCCCTGGGAGGGTGGCCGGCCTCTGTCCCCTGGGAGGGTGGCCGGTCTCTGTCCCCTGGGAGGGGTGGCCGGCCTCTGTCCCCTGGGAGGGGTGGCCGGCCTCTGTCCCCTGGGAGGGGTGGCGGTCTCTCTGTCCCCTGGGAGGGGTGGCGGTCTCTCTGTCCCCTGGGAGGGTGGCCGGCCTCTGTCCCCTGGGAGGGTGGCCGGTCTCTGTCCCCTGGGAGGGGTGGCGGTCTCTCTGTCCCCTGGGAGGGTGGCCGGCCTCTGTCCCCTGGGAGGGATGGCCGGCCTCTGTCCCCTGGGAGGGATGGCGGTCTCTCTGTCCCTGGGAGGGGTGGCTGGTCTCTGTCCCCTGGGAGGGATGGCGGTCTCTCTGTCCCCTGGGAGGGGTGGCCGATCTCTCTGTCCCCTGGGAGGGTGGCCGGTCTCTCTGTCCCCTGGGAGGGGTGGCCGGCCTCTGTCCCCTGGGAGGGTGGCCGGTCTCTGTCCCCTGGGAGGGGTGGCCGGCCTCTGTCCCCTGGGAGGGTGGCCGGTCTCTGTCCCCTGGGAGGGTGGCCGGTCTCTGTCCCCTGGGAGGGGTGGCCGGTCTCTGTCCCCTGGGAGGGTGGCCGGTCTCTGTCCCCTGGGAGGGGTGGCCGGCCTCTGTCCCCTGGGAGGGATGGCAGTCTCTCTGTCCCCTGGGAGGGTGGCCGGTCTCTGTCCCCTGGGAGGGTGGCCGGTCTCTGTCCCCTGGGAGGGGTGGCCGGTCTCTGTCCCCTGGGAGGGTGGCCGGTCTCTGTCCCCTGGGAGGGTGGCCGGTCTCTGTCCCCTGGGAGGGATGGCCACCTTCCCCGTGTCACTGGCTTGGTTGGTGGGAGATGGCCTCACAGTTCCTTAAATAGTACACCGAGTGAAATAAGCCAGGCTGAGAAAAATCCCACATGACCTCACTTATAGTGGAATCTAATGAACAAAACGAATTAACCAACAGAATAAGACCCGAAACAGGGAGGCATGGACCAGACTGACACACCTCGATGTGGGGGCGGGGGACGAGAAGAGATAAACCACAGAACTTATATTCCAACTAGAGGCCTGGTGCATGAAATTCATGCAAGGGACTTGGCCCTCACAGCCGCAGCCTTGTCCGGAAAAACATCTGGAAGGCCATCCGGAGGGCCATTAGGCTGTCTGGTCTAATTAGCATATTACACTTTTATTATTATAGATATGCATAACCCATGGACACAGGCAATGGGGTGGTGAAGGCCTGGTGGTGTTGGGTAGGGGCTGGAAGGAGGGGAGTGAGAGGGGCAGAAATGGAGAGATGCAAATTAAAACAACAATGCGGTCCCACCTCACACCTGTCAGAACGGCTATCATCAACAAATCAACAAACGACTAGTGCTGGTGAGGATGTGGAGAAAGGGAGCCTCATGCACTGCTGGTGGGAATGCAGTCTGGGGCAGCCACAGTGGAGAGCAGTATGGAGATTCCTCAAAAAACCGAAAATGGAACTCCCATTTGACACAGTGATTCCACTTCTAGGAATATATCCTAAGAAACCAGAAACACCAATCAGAAAGGATATATGCACCCTATGTTCATAGCAGCACAATCTACAATAGCTAAGATTTGGAAACAACCTAGGTGCCCGTCAGCAGATGACTGGATCAGAAAACTGGTACATCTACACAATGGAATACTATGCTTCCATAAAAAAGAAGGAATCCTGCCGAAATCAATTTGGCGTTGGCCTGCAGACAGAAGGGTCCCAGGTTCGATTCTGGTCAAGGGCATGTACTTTGGTTGCGGGCACATCCCCAGTAGGGGGTGTGCAGGAGGCAGCTGATTGGTGATTCTCTCTCATCGATATTTCTAACTCTATCTCTCTCTCTTCCTCTCTGTAAAAAAATCAATAAAAATATATTTAAAAAAAAAGAAGGAATTCTTACCATTTGCAGCAACCTGGATGGAACTGGAGAACATTATGCTAAGTGAAATAAGCCAGTCAATGAAAGAAAAATACCACATGATCTCACCCATTTATGGATAATAAAGAACATTATAAACATGAAAAAAAAGATAGATACAGAAGCAGTAAAGCATCAGACTGTCAAATTACAGCGGGGAGGGTAGGGAGATATGGGGGAGATAAGAGATCAACCTAAGGACTTGTATGCACTCATATAAGCATAACCAATGGACGCAAAACTCTGGGGAGTGA